AAGCGAGCTCGTGGGTTAACGAGCCGAGCCAACTCGACTCGACCCACTACCATCCCTATGCTTAGGGGGTTCATGTCATGTGACACTGCCTCCCAATAATTACCTTGCCACATATTCCAAGAAAATCATAGGTAAAATCATCGAAAGTCACATCGCGAAAATTGACGGGATTAGTGTCAGGGCATTCTTCAAATGGTGGGGCCAATGGCATCAGGTTGATCATGTTGGAACATTTTTTAAAAGTTTTAAGCTTTCACGACGAATATTAATTTTCAATTTTTGATTTTAATATTAATTTTTAATATAAAATTAAATCTCATAATTTAGGTTGTAATTTAAGAATAAGAGTTTCAACCTTTCAAATTAAAAACCTTTTAATTTTTAGTTTTAACATAGTAAAATTAATTTTGATTCATATGTGTGTGGATGTTAAAATGCAACTATTAGTTAACGTGTATAAAATTTTGACTTCTCTTTACGGCTTAATTTACAAATTGGGCAATAGCTTCGTGGATGGTTTATCAAAAATAAAATTAAATATTTGCGAATTTTACTGCTTAAATAATTTGTGCAATATTTTAATGAGTCGTAGAAAAATCAATGAATTAATTATGTAAAATAAATAACTTCGTATTTAAGCCTTATCTTTATGTTTGCATATTTAATACAGTGCATTAACTTGAAATAAAATTATTAAACTCATTTTAAATCTAAATCTACTATCTTTTTCATTTTGAAATATGAGTCATTCGTCTGACATGATACCAAGAGGATACCTTGATGAATATGATCGAGAAATATAGTTCAAAAATAAGTCAGAAGTTTAGATTTATTTAATTCACATTTAGTACTCATTATTATGACCACATCATTTAGTGATTTTACCTATTGAAGGTGCTTTAGACATTACGTCATGAGCACTTCAAAACGGTATTAAAAACCTTTCTTGATATTTGAGAATTATAATTCGAAATTCATTTGCCAACAAATTGTAGAAGTGTTACGAACACTTCAAAATAATATCAGGAACCTTTCTTACCGTTTGAGAATTATAATTCGAAATTGACTCGGTAAAATGGATTATAAAATTTTCTTATTTATTTATTTTTTGTCCGGTGCATGTAACCGAACCCTAAATCTGTCCATTGTAACTTTTTAGAGATAGATCGATAACATGATGAGCAAAACCATATGTATGGAGAATTTCTTCACAGAACTCCTACATGAGGTCGGCCCACGTAGGACCTGTGGATGATAAAAAATTACAAAAAAATGCCTACCTCCCCTCATTGAGTGTAGTCTGTAAAGCCTCTATAAATATTTATTCTGTACGTACAGTGCAGTTCTAATATGATTGGACAAAGTGATGAACGTTCTGAAACTTCAACAACTTTCTTCCTTCTAACATTCATTCTTTATTTTTTGTTATAAGTAGACTTAAAAACCAGGTTAATAAATAATATTACAATCATCATTCCAACTTCTAAGTGAACTTTTTGTTTGTCGACCTGCCATGCCATGCACTTTCTCAACATGATGCCTCAAATGATCAGCCCAATTTTCCTGTAAATTTCCATCTTTCAATTGTTTTGGGTGCACTGCTCAGCTCAATTTGATCGAAATCATCAGCATTTGGGGCCTTTTTTTTCGAATATGTAACAAGACAAGAATAACGGGAAATTAACAAACTTGAACAAAAAACTAAAATGTGATAGAAATGGAACGGATCCAATTTGAGCAAGTTTTCAATAAATTAAAATAATAAGAAGCTGCAGGCGAAATTGTGTGAGGGAGAATTGAGGATACTTAATTTTTTTATAAAAAAATTACAAATATAAAATTTGAAGCCACGATCTTCAATAAAGTAAATAAATAAATTGATCGTATTCGTCAGATTAATCTGTTGAATATTGCATATCTAACTATCAGACAAACATTTTTCATTTTCCAAACTATGGAGAAATCTATGGGTTTTATTTTGGCCAACAAATTCCACATTAAGATTGTTTTGAAAAATAAATAAATAAAACCTTAATTACCTTTAAAAACTGAGAAATAAATTAATAGTTTCCATTTCATTTTTTTCGACCCCGAGCTCGTCCCCCTAGATATTAGAAATGCGTCCATTTTGTAAAAAATAAAAAAAATAAAAAATTCTACTCGATCAGTGAGCTATTACGCACTCTTTCAAGGGTGGTTGCTTCTAGGCAAATCTCCTGGCTGCCGACAACTCAATGTTGGCCTGTAGAATTAGGGCTGCTGTCCCTTTCGAGAAAGCTTATAATAACATAAAAGGAAATTTATTCCAAAAAACAAACATCAAGAAATATTTATTATAATTTTTTTTTAAAAGAGAATATATGTTATACCAACGTTTGGTTTAGATAAAATGTAAAATTTTAGTAAATTTTGATAAATATTAATGAAATGTATAGTTGAAAATTTGTGGATCCATAAAATGTACGATTATAATTAATTATAGATTTTACCTTAAATTTTAATTAAATTTTTATCTAAATTGGTTATTTACTGTTGAAAATATTGAGGTCAAACTAGGTGTCACTTCAAGATTTTTACAAAGGATTTAATTCATCCATAGCGACTATACTTTATATTTAGTGTCGTCAAAGATACTCTACTTTATATTTAATATCATCATAGCTACATAAATTGATTTTGATTCACAATGACCACCTAACTTCATATAACGTTTCAATCAAGTCATTCAGTTATTATCACAATTTTTTTTTTATTAATCTGGGTTTGATTTATATTACATAATTGTATAAATTGGGTTAGTGAATTTTTTATATTTGTCTTGTTTACGTAGTAAATTATTATTTTTATTTGGGTTTGATTTATATTATATAATTTTTCCTAATTTTGGTTAGTGTATATTTATTTATTTATTTTTTGTGTGTGCTAGAAGAAATAAAAAAAATTGTTTCTATTTTCATATAAATTTTTTTTAAAGTTTTTGTAATGATTACCATGTTTTGTATTTTTTTTTTTTCATTTTTTTTTCTGATTCTCATCCGTTTTTTGTGGTAATAAACATATTTGAATCTTTTTAGTGTATGTGCGTGTTTTTGTTGTCATAAAAATCAGGCGGTTTAACTGAAACGTTATATAAAACTAAGTGGTCATGGTTAATCAAAAGCAATGTGGATGACCATAATGATGCTAAGTATAAAGTACAGTAATCATGAGAATTAAATCAATTTAAATAATTATAGTGACACTAAGTATAAAATACAATGGCCCTGGGTAAACTTAGAGCCTTTGTTTGAGTCCATTTTTTCATTAAAATAAATTTTTCATTGGCGATTTAATCTCATTTCAATCACACATTTTTCAATAAAATAATATTACACATAAAATTCAAAAATTGAACTACACATTCTCCATCATAACACTATTTCTAAATGAATTTTTTTTTTAAAATGGGGCTCAAACAACCCAAGAATTAATCTTTGTTGTCAAATGAATTTGACATCTTTGTTGACAAAAGAAGATTTGTAAAATAAAAATGATTGTATGACACTGTTGATTGTTTTTAAACAATCCAATAAAATTTTGTCATGTGACATTTCTGTCATAGAGGATGTCATCCAAGATATTTATACAGCAAAATCCCTTTTAATTTAACACTTTTTACAAGAATTAATCTATTTGTACAATTATTGTTGACAATGTTGATATTATCAAAATCTCAACCATTGATTTTAAAAATAGTTTTTGAATTGATGAATGTGATGTTGATAAGTATGAATTATCAGTTAAGCCCATGTTTGAGTGTAAGAGTGTCAATGAGTCCAACTGAGCTAGCTTGCAATATTGAGGCTTGGGCTCGACTCAAGTTTTTTTGACCCTAGCCGAGACGAACAAAAGTTTGTTCAAAAAATCGAGACTCGAGTCTTACCAAACTAAATCGACTCGAGTTTTTTTTCCTCTGTGAAGGCAAGCTGCCACAAAGGCAGCTTATATTTTTTTTGAGCTGGCCCGACACCCCAAGATTGGGCTTCGTAAAATCGAGACTTGAGCCAGGTCGATTCGAGCTTTTTGCAAGCGGGGCCACGAGTTGCCTCAGCCGCTAGCCTATTTGTCATCCCTATTTGAGCTCCATTCTTTTAATAAGAATGAATTTTTGAATAGTATATTGACGAGAAATGTGTGGTTAAAAAATAAGAAAATTTTTTAGATTTATGTATAATATTATTTTATCAAAAAATGTGTTATTAAAATAATATCAAAATACTGTTTAAAAATGTTTTTTTGTTTTTTTTTTAATGGCTCAAGCAGGGGGTAAGATTGTCAAGTAAAATAGGATGATTCTTTTTACAAATCAACCAATTCTCTTGCAGCAGCCCACTAGATCCCTGTATCCTCGGTACACCCGATAGTTACTCTAGCCGTTAAACTTTTTCTCTTTCTAATACAAAATTCCTATATAAAAGAGGCGCTGCCTTTTTTTCTTTCTTTAGTTTTCCCAAAATTGAGCTGTACAATACGAGTACAGACTGGAAGCCCGTAACCAAAAGATTCATTTGATCCGTGAAATTACTGTCTCCATCACCACCGATCAGGTATATAACTTCTACAGATTCAGTTCTTCTGTTATAGAATATAATAAAATGTCGAATGTCGGTTTATAAGATTGTGGACAGTTGAAATTTCTTATTTATAGTTGTAATTGTGTTGTATACGCCGCTGGTCAAATTTGATGGCTGTTGTTTTACCAGATCTGAAGTTCTTAAAGTTTGAATTTTCCGTTATACTTTTTGAAATTCTGTGTTTACTTCAATTTGTTTATCTTTGTAATGTTTGTTTCGATGATAGGTTCAGTGAATTGTTTTAAGAAAGAGGGGGCTTGTATAATTGTATTGAAATGGCGAGTCGAGTCAAGGAGGATGAGAAAAATGAAAAAATTATAAGGAGTCTTCTTAAGCTTCCGGAGAATCGTAGGTGTATCAACTGCAATAGTTTGGTATGTTTCTTTTTCTTCTTTCTTTCTTTTCTTCTTCCTCCTTTTTTTTTGCCTGACTTGATTTGGATATCTTTGTGTTCCTTAAGAAAAAAGTGATTTGAAAAGAGATTATCTTGATTCATGGAATTTTTTCCATCAATGGTGGGAAGATGGAAATTTTGGTTTGGCTGCAAGTTCATTGTAATTTTTTATCTTTACTTTCTTATAACCGATATAATGAAGTTTTTCCGTAAAGTATGTCCTTGTGAACTCACAAATTTTGGTGTGCAATGACATGTTTTTTATATAAATGGACTTCTTGCACTTCTTAATCAACAAACAATGGTCAAGCCCCTATTAGTTAATGGTAGAAGATTAACTATGAGTAAGAATAAAGGTCTTTTCACTATACAAAATGTCTTTTGGATTTTAATAAATAACCGTTAAAAATGTGAATGTTACAAGTTTATATTGAAATTGCGAAATTGGATTACCTGATTAACCTTTGCTTTTAGTGGTTTTTAGTTTAGTGGCTTTATGTTCGCTTTCCTTGAGCAATTAAACAATAGAGAGCACTGCCCATTTCTAGGTTGTTAACCAGAATATTTATTCTGAATTTGTTCTGTTTCCCTCATGGTCATGGAGTTGGGCATTGGTTAAACTTAAGGCTACATATTCCCGCTTAATCCCACATGGTTGATTGATGTTGCTGGATATAAATATATCTCTTCTTAGTATATTTATTCAGAAACAAGGTATATATATGATGTAACTAATGTCCCATGTAGAGAAAATTGTTGCCTGAGGTGTGCTAGGCTCCCTACAGATGAAATTAGTTTGACATTATTGCACTTTCTATTTCATTATAACTACGTACCTTAAATTGGAGTAGCTTATATTTTTTTGATGTTTGTTTCATGAAGCGGTTTGCCAATAAGACATTTATGCCTAGGATATGTGACATCAAATTGGACCTTCTAAAAATTCTTATATCCTTAAAACCAAAAGCAAATATTTTGGTTTCACAGAAGTCACATAAAAATTTTCAATTTTGAAATGTAGATTTATTTTGATAATATCTAAAAGTTTGGTATCGTCAGAATGAGCTATTGCACTGCTCCCAATAACCCGAAGAAAATTTCCCTTCCGATGCCCTAATTCGTATCATCATTATGGAAGAGAGAAAATATATAGTATATGTCATTGTGTATTAAAGAATGTTAAGAGTTATTTTTCATACATTTGTCCTATTTCTAGGCAAGAACATAGCCAGATTTGTAGGAGGGAGTCTCGGAATTTGTCGTATTGAAAGAGCGAAAAAAGAAATCTTGCTATGATTTTTGTAGGCAGTTCGAACTTTTTTTGTTAGCTGTCTATTGCTGGGGTTGTGTTCTTAATCTTGAGCATAAAGTGCTAGATGATAATCTGTTCTTGAGGCATTAGGTATAGGTGCCCAGGCAATTTTTTTGGTTCTTGGTATCATCAGATATTAAAGACCATGTTTTTTAGGACTGTGACTTGGAGCTATTTATTTTCCCTTTTTTTTTTCATAGATACCAGGCATTTATGTTAAGCAGTTATCATCTATATTACTATAGTGAATCCATTTAAAAAGTTGGCCTTTTTCATGTTTTCTGCTATTCCAATCAAGGCAACTAAATCGAGTAGGTGTCTGATTCAGTCGTAAAAGTTGTATTGTTCATTTCCAATGAGCCATGTTTGGACAATGGGGTATTGGTGGATAAGGGGTTGATTGATTTTTCAATCCACTCATCTGTTCTTTGGTCAGAATTCTGTCGATCGATTAATGATTTTTGTGCCAGCCTCAGATGCTACATATTTGATATTAGACATTACTATGGGGGCTGAGGTTTTATTAGCTGGTAATGAGGCACTACCTAGATAAGATTTCTGTAACTTGAAAAAATTTCTTATCCAGATGTTATCCCATATCTCATGATTACATTAACATACTTTACTCAAACTTCGTTAAATTTGTGGAAAAGATAGGATGATGTGATATCAAAACCCAGCCAAGTATCAGTTTACTTAGCAATTTGAGATGGGTCTACCAAGAATGATCTCGAAGTTGTACACTGTAAGAATGAGTTATTATTGGCAAAATGGTAACTACAGTTGCCAGAAAAAAAGAGAGATGATTTATTGGTGTCCTAAAGCAAATTTGTTTGCATATGTTTCTGGTGACTGTTTCATCTTTTAATTCCAGCAAAAAAATAGAAGATGATTTGCTTCTGTAATTGTTGGATTTTAACCTTTAGCCTGGAAGTTAAATGAATATTTTTGTTTCATCCTGGAAACATTATTTTCGACGAAGATGAGCATAATATTTGTTGATATTCCATTGAAGTTTAGTTAGTTATCCTCCCTATTGAAATTTTTTTTATGTCTAGTACAGCCACAAATGTGCATACATGTTAGTTCAAATCTTTAGTAGAATATTACAGAATACATGAATAGGTTTTAGAGAGTTTTGGATAGCCATGAAGATGAGTTTTAATACCATATATATATATATATATATATATATATATATATATATATTTTTTTT